GGGCACAGGGGCTTGGACTGCACCCATTGGTGTTTAGCCGGAGTACCTGATACTTGGAATGTGCTTCTTTATGCAGCTCTTACTAAAAATTAGGCATTCTTTATATCCCAAAGAATGATTTTTTTTTTCTTTTACAAAAATTGCAGATGAATAATTATAGGCAGTAGATAGATTTTTAGATTCTTTTAAAAACAAGGCTTGATTATGTCAAATATTAGTCCAAATGAGGTAGTTAGCTATGAGAGTTAATAAGGTTATAGGGTCTTTTGTATTAGTGAAATACATTTCAGTTTTCATGTTTGAGCTCTCTGTTTTCATTTCCTTCATTTTACTTGGGCATACAGAGGCCATACTTTATCATGAGCCACTACAAGACCCTACAACTGCATTGATAAGAAAAGTGAAAGACTAATATCATACCTCGTCTCCTCTTGACATCCACTATGAAGTCAAATCAATGCAGCCAATAAATTCCCAACCTGAAGACCTCTGATGAAAAAAGACTGTTAATATTATACCAGAAGTAACTAATAGAAGCCTTGTAAAGAAGACGGTTTGCAGAATGAGTACACCAGAAGTAAAACTTAACATTTGTTAGACTTCCCCATTTCATCAAACACCTTCTCTGCAACTTTTTTTTGCTTCCACTCTTAAAAGATTTCAGGCATCTGTCATTCCAAGGTGGTCAGTGTTCATCATCAATATAGGAAGGAAATGACACTGAAAACAGTAGACGAAAACAGAAGGAATCAAAGAGAAAACAACTGATTAACTCATCCATGATTTTAACTGTAGAGGATCCATGGCCTTGTAACAATATAGAAATGAAGTGAATGCTTCAAAGCAACCGGTGTACCCAACTATATTATGGGCCAGACCCGTTAACCCAATCACATGCAGCCCATATATCATATTATGGCCCATCATATCTAAATTTCTTTTATTATTATTTTTTTAATAGGCCAATTTTTGAATGAAAATAACCATATAACCGAAAACAAATTGTGCTATAATAACCTCATGAAGCACCATTTTAAGTCTCAACATGTCTTTTGGTCAGTATCAAGAGTCCGAAAGCTAGTTAATAGCTTTTGAATGATGGGAAATAATTTTTCATGTCTTTTCTCAAGTAATGGGAAATGAAAGATTTATTTCTCATGTTTGATAATCCTAGAAAAATAGCTAGGAAATAATACTTTATTTCATTTCCCATGTTTGGTTTGCGAAAGAATGCAAAACAAAGTTATTTAATTTTTCAATTATATTCATATTAGATATAAAAAATGCATTTAATGTTATATTGTAATTCAAAATCGTTAATGTGAACAAAATGATCATGAAAAAAATGTGCATTTAGTGCAGGCTTTAGTTTCCCATGAGAAGGGAAAATGAAACCCATGGGGGGTGGAGGGTTTCATTTTCACACCTATTTTTCCATGTATCAGGCAATCATTTCTCATGCTTAGACTTACCAAACATGAGATTTCCCATTTCCAAACCCCATTTTGCAGAAATGACCTTTAAATTGTGATCTAGAAAATGATAACAGTTTCAATTACGACATGTATATGGTGCAAATTCGTTAACTGCATCATAACTGAAAATAGAAGAATAAAATCAAGCTGGATTTAATTTTGTTAGAACATCACAGTTGTAAAAACCTTTTACTTTCCCTCTTTGTTTTTACCATGTCGCAAGTATGGAAGTTACAAAACATGTAAGTGGAAATGATTTTCCATTCTCAAATTCCCTTTCCCACAAACTAAACGCTTTATTAGAAACTTTTGAATTGAACCTAACAAAGTCACCTCACACAGTACATCTGTTAGCATGAAAATTGTATTGTCATTTCCTAGACTCTAGTATAGGTTGGGAATTAGTGTGTGATTATTATCTATTGGACGTTTTGGCACAACTCATTCACCCCCATACATCTAAGGCCTGACTTGACCGATATAAGAAACTTGACTTTAGGTAAATCATGACATAATCATGCATTCATTATAGGATTCCTATAGTTGGAGTTTTTTCACTCAGGTATTTTTATGTTAATCTTATTTTTAATAGGATTAGATTTTATCTCTTGAGATTACTTTTCTAGTTGGACTCTATTTTGGTTTAAGTTAAGATATTATCTTTGTTTGGTCTAATTAATTTGTTTTAGGAGATGTTGTTTCTTCATAAAAGAGTGGCTATTTGGCGTCAATCACTTGAAGTCCATATTGGATCAAATATGATATTCATGATTGAATAGAATTTGTGGTCTCCTATTTGGCGTCAGTACTTAGAACCTTATAGGAAGTTTGGGTCTGTGATTCACTAGGCATCTAAATCTTATATTCATGATAGGAAGTTTGCATGGGCTGACGAATTGTTGTAGGATTCTAAATGAATCAAATATGATTAATGGCAAGAGATTGAGCACGTGGCTTGGTGCTCTTCTCTTGCAAAAAGGAGATTGCGGTTTGTATAAGAATATGATGTGCTTCTTTATTTGTGTAGCTTTCCCATATTTTGTTTGAGCATATAAAATTCCTAAGAAAGTTACTGTGCATTTATTTGAGATAAATCATCAAGTGTTCCATGTTTACTTGGTGATTTATCAAACACTTTAATAATTCATATTGCATTTATTTGCATGTTCAGTGACTCATACGGTTAAGGGCACCAAGACTGTAGTGGCGGTATTCCTCCGGCGAGCTTGAAGCAATCGTGACTAGTATTGCGTTTAACATAAGGAGTGTCGAAGATCATCCCATGACAGAAATTGAGTTACGAAGAAGTCGGTAAACATTATCTAGAATGTGTCTAGGATAAGTGTGTGAGTACTTCTTGTAATCATCGTTCTATAGTGGATTTGTGTTGGACTGAGGAGTCCCATGAATTTTCCCTAGAGGTGGGGTATAAGTTACATAGAATTAGAAATGGTGAATACTAAGAGGTATGGTGGTCATCCACCAACTCATGCATTTACAACAAATACATAATTCTAATATATAATGTTGGAAACAAACAAAGTAAACAAATTACTTGTATTAAACTCTAAAAAAAACTTATCTAAAAAAAGCACACACACACAAAATATTACAAGAAATCAACTCTTAAAGAAAAGCACACAATTTTTAGAAACTAACTCTTTCTCGCTTTCTAGAGACAAACTCTAAAACACTCACACTTCTCACAATTAATACTCAAAGCTCAAGCTCTATAGCTTATTAGTTCATTAAGAATATTATATATATGAGAAGTGAAGACCACAAATTAGTTTCTAATGGGAAGAAAAGACACTAACAACCTTGAGAGTGGGAAGATTGAGGTCCTTATTTTCTGCGATTGCTTTCCAAATCTGCTGAGGCAGAGAAAACAGCCCGTCTATCACCCGCAAGCGCTCGTGGAGAAATAGAATGGGACAAGCGCCGCCTCAGTTTAGCAACAGAATATTTTATTATTTGATTTGATTGAACTTGCCAGACATTAAGCCTTGTATTTGTATTTATGTTGACTTTCGTAGAATTGCTTGCTTATGTACGAAATTCCTTTTATTTTGTTTTTATTTTTAAAAATAATTCAGACTACGATATTTTATTTTAAAAAATAATTCAAGCTTGAAATTCCTTTTCATATTCCAATCAATCATTAATAAATACACATTATACAGCCAATTCTACCTACTGCTACAACATCTGTATTTCCTTGCTAATACATCATCCGTGCCATCCTATGCCATGTTCCTTGGTTGTCATGCTCGATCAGTTTGTTCTTCAGCACAGTTTTGTCAATTAAAAGCAAAAAGAAAATATTAATTGCACTCAATAATGCATGATATGATACCATCAATCAATTAAAAGCAATATTTTATTAGATCCATATTATATTTTTTAAAAATGCATTGAATGCTATATTGTAATTCAAAATTGTTAATAGGAACAAAATGACCATGGAAAATGTACATGTTGGCCTTAATTTCCGATGGGAAAGGAAAATAAAACCCATGGAGGGTTTCATTTTCACCCATATTTTCCCACCAAGCAACCATTTCCTATGCCTATACTAGACTTACCAAATATGGAAAATCAAAAGATTTCCCATTCTCAAGCCCCATTTCGTAGAAATGAATTGTGATCTAAAAAGTGATAATGGTTTCAATTATAACATGTAGATGGTGAAAATTCGTTAATCACGGCATAACTAAAAATAGAAGAATAAAATCAAGCTATTTTATTAGAGTATCACTATTGTAAACACTTTTTTTTTCCATCTTTTTTTTCCATGTCTTAAGTACGGAAGTTACCAAACATGAAAGTGAAAATGATTTTCCATTCTCAATCCCTTTTCCCACAAACTAAACGCCTTCTTAAAATTTGTTTAATTGAACTTAACAAGCTCACCTCACACTACATCATTTAGTAATTATAATATGTGAAAAGTTGGTCACACTTGGTTACTATTGTTTGTCGACATTATATTTGAGTACAATAAAATTAAATATGTTATTGCTTATATTTTAATCGCTGTCAATCATTAGCATAAACAATTGGCCACCCACAGCTAGAAGTAACCTTAATATTTCGCCTAAACCTTTGGTGGCTGTGACCCCACCAGAACCAACCTAGAAAATGTCCCTTCCTCTCTCTCTCTCTCTCTCCACCAAACCAAACTACTTTGAAACTCCCTCTCCCCCTTCTCTCCTCTCAGCCTCTCTCGCATCTTCTCTCAGCCTCTCTCTCTCTCTCTCTCTCTCTCTCTCTCTCTCTCTCTCTCTCTCTCTCACACACACACACACACACACATCAGTAATCTCTTTATGTCAATATCTATCTATATATGGGAGGAAAGACCAAATTCCAATCTCATAATTTCCTTTCTGATTATGAAAGATTTAACTGCAACCACAAGGAAATAAATAAATAATTCCATGCATTCCACATTATTGCATTATATTATATGTGCCTATATACCCTGTGAGTTGCACCAACCTTCTAATCTCTCTCTCTGATCTCATGGATGCTTTTGCAGTTGGTGCTACAACAATAGCACTGCTTGTGCTTTCTGTTCTGTATCAACAAGTTCATGGAGGGCTTGTAGGAAGTGATATCAATGGCTGTGATGTTTCTCATGGCAATTGGGTTTTGATGATTCATATCCTCTTTATGCCGCGCCTAGCTGTCCCTTCATCGAAAACGAGTTTGATTGCATAAAGAACGGCCGCCCGGACAAAGACTATCTCAAATATAGATGGCAGCCCTCTGCCTGCAACTTACAAAGTAAGTATACCATTCTACATCATGCATATGTACATACATTTCTAGATATTCGACATTTTACGTCGCGGAAGTGTCAATTTAGAACACACACATTCAAGAAATATTCTCCTGGACCAATGGTTTAGATTGATAGTTTGAAAATTTACATATTGTGCCGGCGCCAAACTGTTTGGCAATAAAAGATTTCACATGCCTAACTGTATCATCTTATTCCGTGACAGTATGACATTTAGAATCTTATTGGTCGTGATTTTTGAGCTGCCATTTTTAAAATTTTCCTTTCGTGGTCTATCTCCCAATGTTATAGGCGTGACTAGCTCTGAATGAGAAATGTTTGAGTTTGACTATCTTTTGCCACGGGTGTTATTAATTCACGTGTTATAATATGGTGGATAACATCATCGATATTTTATGGACTTTGAAAATATTTTTAATAATTATATACACATGTTATAACATTAGTGAATTAATAACCCTATATTTGACTAGATAAGAGTGACAGTGAAAAATCTCTTGCTACAAATTGCTCCATTTTCTAATCACTGGATGTCCTTACTAGCTTTCTTGAATGCATTATTTGCTGTGAAAAATACCCTCCCCTTTTGTTCTTTTAAATCTTCACAAGTCTTTTGCAATGTTATGAGTTCATTGAGTGTACCTGTGTTGGGATTTTTATTCTTCTTTATGTTGGAATATAAATTATTAAGTTCTGTTTTTAATAATGTAGGCAAATTTAAAATAAGAAATTCATGTTTCTAAAAATAAATAAATAAATCATTAAAATTATGATTGTAATGAATGTGTATATATAAATATATTATTAATTTATTAAATGATATTACGAAGTGGGCTAAAATGAGTAGTTAGTGTCGAATTAACTTATTAAGCGGTTAACGCTCTAACGCTTCTATTTAAATTATTTTTTAAAATTTTGCGAAGGGCTCCCTCTAATGTGAAATCCTAGCTTTGTCACTGTGTGTGTGTATATATATATATATAGTCACCTTTTATTGAGAAATTCCTCAAATAAATTCATTTGAAGAATCCTCAACTGAAACTCAATATATATAATTTCAGTCAAGTGTTTGATTAGCCAGGCTGGAAATCACATGCTTGGTTTGGGAGTTGAACAACTTGTGGCTCTACCTCATAGACTTTTAGTCAACTTCTCCTAATTTTCTACATTTTTTTTTGTCATCTTCATTATTATTGTCAAGGTTATTTTCTTTTCCTAGATATTTGGGTTACCTATTTTTTCGTCTCTGTTTGTGTGTGTGGTATTTGGGTTTGCCTATTTCATCATTATTACGTACCAAACATATTTGAGATTGGTGGTTAGCATTGGAATGCACCTGGGTTCCTTTCATACTTTCGTACAAGTTGTAATCAACACCAAGTAAATATGAGGACCATGGCCAAATTGTATCTGTATATTGGTATGTTGATGCATGCGCAAGTAAAACTCTTTGACACATGATCATCCATAATAATTCAAAGTTATAGCGCTTTTCAAGTAAATGCAATATTACAAAATGTTTCCATAGAACAATCGTAGATTATTTTTCTTAGTTTGAGCATGAAAATAAGACGTAATTGTCAAATTAGTCATTTCAAATTATGTTTAAATGTGCGATTCTTGTTGATAGTTTTGTGACGTAACATGATTAGATTCATGACAAGAGAGCATTACCCAAATCATGAAACTTACACATCTTTGTAAATCTACCGTCAGCTTTATTGATCTGTGTATAAAAATTTGATGATCCAGATTCGATGGCAGTCGAATTTTGACGGAATTTAGAGGGAAAAGAGTCATTTTCATTGGGGACTCATTGAGCTTGAACCAATGGCAGTCACTTACTTGCATGCTTCATACAGCTGTTCCAAAGGCCAAGTACACATTGGTCAGGACTGGAGGGCTGTCCACATTCACGTTTCCGGTGAGCTTATATATCTCTCAATTTAAACCTGATTATAATCTAGATTAGATATCCAAACAGCTGTCCTAAAATCTTTTATTCTTGTAATTTGACAACTGGTGATTTTCTTCCCATATATGACGTTGCTTGGTCAGTTCCCAAATGATATTTATGTTTGTTGCACTTTGGTCCGTATGACAATGATTGCTGTCCATGTGAAACTAGGAAGATTGATTTTTAATTGAAACCAAATTTGAAAAATAATGAAGCAAAAAAGTTCTTTTAACTTTTAGTTAGCAAAAGACTTAAATCTAAATAAAGAAATTGCGTTTTATGATTTGTACAGATTTGTTTTGTTAAATTTATATGACGATTGTCAATTAAACGATAGTCTAAATTAATCTAATCTATAGAAATGGGAAATTCGTATTTCGGTACAAGTTTAAGCAGTGGGTTCACTAACCTAACCAACTGATCTAACCCACATATACTGTAGGAATACAATCTTAAAGTATTGTTCTCCCGCAATGCCTTTATTGTGGATATCGTAGCCTCACCTGCTGGCCGAGTCCTCAAGCTTGACTCAATCTCAACTCAGGATGAGGAACTGTGGTTGGGAATCGACGTATTGATCTTCAACACGTGGCATTGGTGGCTTCACACCGGAAGAAAGCAACCGTAGGGCCCCTATTTGACTTTCTTCAATTTGGTTTATTCATTCCTTGAGCTTTTGGTTGCCTCTCTCTATCTCTATATGTTGTCCAAGTAATTGAGCTTTTGGTTTTGTTTTGTTTTTTTAATATGTTGCAGATGGGATTTGATTCAAGTGGGGAAACAACTTACACCGACATGGATCGCTTGGTTGCATATGAGAAGGCATTGAACACTTGGGCTAGTTGGGTAAATTCCAATGTGGATCCCAACAAAACCAAGGTCTTCTTCCAAGGTGTTTCTCCAGATCACAGCAAGTAAGTATCTTACAATCTGTTAATCGTAGTCAATATTCAAAGATTTCTACAACTTTGCTTCATTAATACTTTCGTGCTATAAATATTCTCAATGCATAATCACTAGGTTTGGTGATTTGGCCTACTGGACTATTTCAACTAAATTGAACTAATGTCTTAACCGATGTTTGGTGAATTTATGAATATTGAACTTATTAAATTGGACAATAATCCAACATATTGTATCTTATATGTCTCGTCTAGAGCAGTTAATCTCAAAAAGACTAACTTGGACTCAACTCCAATCCATTCGGTTCTAAAGCATACATTAGTTCGAAGGAAGCTTCACCTATTATTACTTCTTCAATGAGATCTCTTAATACTTGTGATCTTATTTCTATATATTTACCACCCTTTTGTAAAACTAGAAATATTCAAACTAGTTTGTGATAGTTTCTAATCAAACTCAATGTTGTTTGCATCAGTGCAACAGAGTGGCGTGATCCTAAGGCAATAAGCTGCAATGCCCAATCAAAACCACTTCCAGGTCCAGATTATCCAGGAAAAGCACATCCAGCAGAGGAAGTAGTAGAGAAAGTGTTACGTAGCATGTCAAAGCCAGTCCATTTGCTGGATGTTACAACTCTTTCACAACTTAGAAAAGATGGGCACCCATCTGTCTACGGCCTTGGCGGGCACCGGGGCATGGACTGCAGTCATTGGTGTTTAGCTGGAGTTCCTGATACTTGGAATGTTCTTCTTTACGCAGCTCTTACTCAAAATTAGGCATTCTTTATATCCCAAACAAATGATTCGTTTAAATAAAGTTTTCATTATGTGAAATTTTTATCAGGTGGTAGCTCAAATTAGGTTCAGTGGGCTGGGATGGGAGAGTGAATCAGGTTTGAGAGTCTGAGACTTGTATTTATGAAATTTATTAGTGATTGATTGCATAGTTTTACTGAATACTCAAGGTTTAAAATTCAAACTGACGGTGTTTCAGCTTAATGTGAAAAAAAAATAATAAGGGGACGAAATATGGTGGTCTTCCTCGCCTAGCTTGCACCTCAGCAAGAAATAGGGAACTAAAATAGAGGCGGCTCTGCTGCCATTAGTGACGGTTCGCAATGCCTTAATCACTGCACTTGGGCTAAACTAGTATTTTGCTAAGCAAATAGCAACTTGAGACGATTTAGGGACGCCTCACCTCAGGGAGAGCCGAAAGGTGCCCACATGCCTTTTAAAACTTCTACTCATATTATATAACACACACATATATATATATATATATATGTCCAAGGACACACCATAGGTATAATTAATTTGGGCTATTGCTCACCTGAATCTACTTTCCCTTTTTATGCCTAATTACCCCAAATTTTTTGAGATCCTAGGTCCGACCTTGTTTATGTGACTCACCATGTGCCATAATTTGAAAAATTAGTAACATGATGACATCTAAAAATTTCTCCACATATCTGTAGTTTACTAATGCATTGGGTGCCTTAAGGAACGAAAATTGTAGCTAATTTAGTTAACAACAACAAATCCTTTCAAGAATTTTAGGAATTTACTTATTTTTCCTTTTTCATTCTTTCGAAAATTGTAGCTAATTTAGTTAACAACAACAAATTCTTCCAATTCCTATTCTTTCAAAATTGCCGAAATATTTGCAATTTATTGTGTATTGGTCATATATGAGCAAATGATACAATGAATGTATGTATATATATGTATTGCATTTGGGATCTTATTCAAGAAGGGGACCGTATGTTCAAAGATAGGGATCGCCTAGTTGCGTATGAAAAGGGCTCAAGACATGGGCAAGATGGATCGACAACAATTTGGACACAACAAATACAAGAGTTTTCTTTCAGGGTGTTTCCCCAGATCATATAATAAGTAAGACTTTGGAAACTCATGTATATACATATTATGTTAACAAACTAGCAATCTGAACTATTAATCAGACGAACTCTTACTTAAGTGTATAATACATACGAAAAAAAATGATTACATAGCTTATTTAGATATATGGTAAGAGGTATGTTTGGTCTAAAATTACTGATCTTAAGTTCGAAATCCCTAGGCACCAATGTATGTGAGTAAATCTCCCTCCCTCTTTCTAGCTTTGACCCAATAAAAAGAAAGATATATGGTAAGAGATCGTGTACGGTTTATATGCATAAGGAAACATTTGTGTAGGATAATTTTAGTGGGCTTAATTAGGGTCAAATGTTTGCCCATGAATTGATGCATATTCAATTACCTATATGAGGTAATATTTTTTTAATTTTTTATTTACATGTATGTAACACCACGTGACATGTTAATGTGGTATTATTAATGCACTTAGATTGTAGCACGTGACTGTGGCACATGCACCAAATTTGAGTCTCTAATGTTTTTTCAATAGAATTGACTGGGGAGAGCCAACTTCAAAGCAATGTGAGGGACAAACGAAACCAATGGTTGGGCGTCAGTATCCAGCAGGTTCACATCCAGCAGAGCTATAGTAGTTGAAAGAGTGCTGCCTTCTATGAAAAGCCTTGTTCATTTGCTAAATGTCACAACTGTTTCACAACTAAGAATAGATGGGCATCCATCTGTGTATGGTCATGGCAGTCACAAGGACATGGACTACAGCCACTGGTGTCTGGCCGGAGTTCCTGATACTTGGAATATGCTTCTATTTGCAGCTCTCACACCAACTAATTAATTATGTGGGGTAGGAAAATCAAATCAAATTTAAGCCCTCGGGTTTAGTCCAAGTGATAAGGATGGAAAAAAGAGTTAAGAATATGTCAATGACTCGATTGCTTTAATGTAACCGATGTAAAATAATGAAAAATCAAATAACGTTTACGAAATGAAGTATGTGATGCAATTCATCATAATCTTAATTTGTTAGACCATGTTAAGTTTTTATTTTTTGGTTTTTATACAAGCAATATTGGGAGAAGGAGTTTTCTCACATACACTGTCAAGGTGTCATTAGGGTTCAAAATTAGAACCACTGATTTGCAAGTCAATGTCATTTTCATTTGGACTAGACCATGTTGGCGACCTCATGTTAAGTCTAACTAATATTACACTTATTTTTTCTTTTTTCTTTCCAAACTATAGAACTTGTATTGAGTTTGAATGTCAAAAACCCATAACTACTAAGTTTATTGAATTTTTTGTTTGATTTTTTGGGGGAGATTCACCATTATACCAAATACAAGGGCGAAATAGATTTTAGAAACACACCAAAAGCCCATTTACAACATAACAACGAGGCTTTGAACTTATTATAAATTACAAAACTTCCATCGATTTCTTAAACAACAACCCCAAACCCCAAAAAAAAAAAAAAAAAAATCAAAACATCGAAGTAATTTAATAATCAAAATTAAATTCACTGCCCTTTTTGGGTTTTTTTTTATTGGTTTGTTTATAGAAATTAAATGGTGTATGGTTTATCTATATCATTAGTGCTAAGATATGGATAAATATCTCTTATATATATATATCATAAAATTAGTTTTTAAAATATTATATCTATGTATTATGGATGCGTAATTAAGATTTTTTGCTCATTTCACCGCAATCCATCACTAAATTTTGAGAAGAAGAAAACTCCAAAAATAAGGAAAAGTTATTCTTTTTTGAATGTAATGAGATGTGATGATAAGCACGACAGAGAATGAGATGAAGATCTATCCCGACATATCCACCTAACCTAAATACGTGCCAGCTAGCGAAGTACGTAATAGTCATATTTTTCTTATTCCTTTCTGTGTAAGACATGTGTGCCCTAAAGGATCAGTAAATATCTAACAAAAATAATAAAACAATAAACTAACGTGCCCTCAGCTGTAACAGTGGCTTGAGATACACGGAATCTTTTATTAGATTTCAGAAAAAAAATAATTTATTAAAATATTTGATTGGATTATTCTTAGTTAATTAGAGCGCAAGTAAAGCAAAGGCCCCGAAAGAAACAATACTTTCCTACTGTTAGAGGGGTTTCTCTAAGTAGTGGATAGATCTTTGGTATCTATTAGCTAGCAAGTCTGTCTGAAAACGAGGGTTTTGTATTTCTCTTTAGGGTTTCTATCAAGTTGGTGACTTAGGGTTTCTTTTTTATCATCATCAAGAAAGACATAGAAAGAGTTAATGGCGAAGACTTGGTCTGGAAGAAGGTGTGAGAGTATCTGCAATGGTAGGTTTAATAATCTCACATCATCTGGTGATGGGGAGGAAAAACTTCATCAAGTACAACTTAGAGCTTGCAAGAATTGGCTTCCTCCTCGTCCTCGACCACTCTCTCCTGTGAATCCTGGTGGACAACCATCTGTGCTAAAGCGTGGACGATCATCCGAGCCAATTCAAAACAAGAAGAGGAGGGTGACGTCGAATATTGATGATGAAGTTCATGTTCGTGATCATGGTAAATTTGCTACTAATAGTACTTGTCTGAATGTCGTTTCATCAGTATCCCAACGTTCTAGCCACTTGACGACGTTGTCGAAATCGGTACTGCTAGCCGATGATCATTCTCCTTCTCTTGATCATCAAGTGCAAGTGCATGATGGTAGTGATCTTGATCTGTCACCGGCAAGGGCTGTTCGGGTTGCAATGTTAAAGTCCAGGTTTGCATCTACCATCGTCAAGGCACAGCAGGATATTGAACATTCTACTATTACACATAATAATGTTGAAGCTGAAGCCAAGATTGCCAAGTTCAGAGCTACTGAGATTGCCAAAGCTAATGACTTGATCAAGAAGCAACGCCAAAGAGATAGAGAAGCTGCTCGGCTTGCCCTCTCTGAGATGGAAAAGAATGTCGTGATTGAAGACAATTTCAGAACCATGAAAGAATTTCAGATGTTGATTTATGGTGCCACTTTTAACTGACCAGTGCGTTAATTTTTTGGCTGCTGTACATGTAATTGTAAAGTTTCCCAGTTCATTTATGGTGCCCAATACTGTAACTCCTTGGTAACAATTACTTCAATCAATACAATACAACAATTCTCTCAAAGGGTCTCTCTGTTTTGCATTCACTCTAACATTTCCCAACCATTAACACAAACACCAACGCTTCCACTATTCCATTTCATCATCATCATAATTACCAATACTAATTTTTTCTATCTCTCTTTAAACTCCATTACCTACAATTACTATAAGGGTTGAAAAGGAAAAGCAGAAGGAAAAAGGAAGAGGAAGAGGAAGAGGAAGAGGAAGGGAGATGGGTGGTAGTCATGGCAGGTAGTGTGGAGATGGATGACGATCATGGCATGTTTTTGGGATTAGAGGTGTTGGGTTCGCGAGGGGTTGCTATTGGGATTTCTCTTTTTCTTAAGTTTTTCAATTTTCTAATTTTATTTGAGTTTTTCTATTTAAACCCCACACTGCTCTTTGTTCACTCCATGTTCTAAGTTCACCCCCAACTTCTAATTTAAATTTTCACAATTTCTAAGAAAACCTTACTGTCTTCCCAAACTACCCTTAAATACACACCTAGCAAAAAAATGAAAAAATATAAGAGTTTTTCTATTTAAAACCCCACACTTTTCTTTGTTTACTCCAATACTTAAATCATTAAACTCTTAAGTTTTATTATTGTGTCAAAAGACAATTTTTTAACCTTGGATATTTATTTTATTGTTCTTCAGGCTAGATGGAGGAAGAATAGAGAGCTTAATGAACGGATCTCCTAAAAATAGAGTGAAATGCACTATTGATATGATAGAAAATAATACTCTACTATACGTAGATGATATTGATTAGTGAAGGAATTAAACACTTTATTACATTGAAACACAACAAGTTAAGCATTTAAAGAGGTAGGCTCCTCAATGTTCTACCCGTTAATTAAAATAGAAGAGTAATCTGGCAATATGGTGTAAATGAGTTTGTGTTTTTCTAAAACTATGAAGAGTGGTGGGATGTGTATATAAATGTACTAGGGTTAAATATTAAGTTGGATGACTTTTTGTCTTTTTCCACAATAATAAAACTTAAGAGCTTAATAATTTAAGTATTGAAGTGAACAAAGAAAAGTGTGGGGTTTAAATAGAAAAAATCTTTTATTTCATAAGATAAAAATTAAGAAATAAATCCAGCTGTAAAAAGAGTTTAATTTCTATTTTAAAATGGACACATGACAATATTTGAATGAGAGTATCACATGCTGACATGATACATCCATACTATTCTATAATTTCTCTTAACACCATCTACTACCGATCGATTAATCAGTAATTTTGTATGTAATTCAAATTTTGTTATTAATTCCTTTCCATAATAATTGAGTCAAACAAAGAATGCTCATATAGCTCATATCTTTATTCTTGTCCAATAGGTATTTATAAATGGGTATAAGTAACCAAAATCCTAACATAGTAAGGAACCAAAAATCTTAACAAAGTAAGGCCTCGCGAATAAATTGGTTTTGTATGTCTAACCAGAAATAAAAATAATGTTTAGGGCTCCTATTTGTAAGTTTCCTCCTTTTTTTTTTTTTTTTTTTTTTTTTTTTTTTTTAATTTAGGTTTATAAATAATATCACTAAGGTCTCTAGGAAACTATCTGATTTGCATCCTGTTAGGTTTCATTAAAAACTCTGTTAGTTTGCTTGACGTGGCATAAATATATATATATATATATATATATAAATAAACATCCCTGATGTTCACGCACCTATCACAAATGGTCCTTGAGAAATTTTTTAATTTTTTAATTTAAAATTCATAAAATTTGGTGTTTTTTTTAAAAAAATTTATCTATATATATAAAGCAAAAGGCAGAGAATGATGAAACATTCAAACTACCAGAAAATGCCATTGGTTAATGCAAACATTAAAAATTAAAATTATTAATCAAATGAGGATAATATGGTAAATTCACACTTTTTCATTATTATTTTTTTTTTTTTTTTTATATATAAACTCAGATAATGAATCCTATTTTTATGGAACACAACTACCCATTATCTTTTTAATTCTAAAATAAATTTAATTTTTTTTATAAATTAAAAATTAAAAAAAATTTAATTTTTTTAAATAAATTTAATTTTTTAAAAAAAACCTCTTGCAGGCGCGGAAGCGCATACAAAGAGGCTAGTATGTATAAAGCAAAAGCCAGAGAATGGTAAAACATTCAAAATACCATAAAATGCAATTGGTTAATGCAAACATTAAGAATTGAAATTATTAATTAAATGAGAATATTATGGTAAATTCACACTTTTTCATATTAAAAAATTAAAATTAAATAATGGATCCCATTTTCATGGAACACAACTACCCATTATCTTTTTTATTTCTAAAATAAATTTAGATTTTTTTTAGAAAAGCTTCTCACAGGCGCGAAAGCACGTGCAGAGAGGCTAGTATATATTGTATTTTAAATACACGTGACACTATATTTTTGAAGATGTGGGCTCCATATATATGCCACATCAACAAACTAATGATGTTTTTTTAAAAATAATTTAAAAATAATTTAAAAATAATAAAATTTAAAAATGAAAATGAAAAAAACCATTTGTAGAAGATTTTAACCTTGAGGACCATTTATGAACCCTAAATCCTTGGGTTTTTCCATTTTTAAGTTTTCTGAATTTTAATCATTTTTTTTAAAACTCCATTAGTTTGTTGATGTGGCATATATGTGGAGGCCACATCTCCAACAATATAGTGTTACGTGTATTTAAAATACAATATATATTTTTAAATAATTTTAAATTCATAAAATTTAAAAAAGAAAACCATAATTTTATGAATTTTAAATTAAAAAATTTCACAAGGACCATTTGTGATAGGTGCTTGAACCTTAAGGACCATACATACATATATATATATATATATATATATATATATCACGTCAGCAAACTAAAGGAGTTTTTGACAGAACCTAATGGCAGATATCATTTGTGATCACACATAGTAACCTTAAGGACCACGAATGACACAAAAAATATTAAGGATGCAATTTGATAGTTTCATAAACCTTAGGGACGTTTTGTGATATTAAGTTTTTTTTTATTTTTTATTTTTTATTTTTTTTAAGTAGAAGCAACATTGCAAAGAAGATTTAAATTATTGGATCAAATTCAATAACTTATTGAGATATGGCTGATAAAAAATTAGGAAATGTTAGTTTGGGAAAGAAAAAAAGTACAGAGTGGACATCTGTCTTGATCTTTTTTATGAGGAACGAACGATGTTTGACTCCTTATTCAATAGGTGCTTGGGAGTATGGCATATTTTTCAGAGATGAGTCTAGGTCGACATTTGTTCTCCTGTTTGGATTTAATCCTGTGATGATAGGGTAAAGTTCCCCATTGATTTGAAAACCATTGGTGGTCAACAAATCAACAATTATTTGGTGTGCGAGCGTGCTACTGTTAGCAGTTAAAAACCTTAACAGACTTATGAAACAAAGATAATTTGTTTTCCAAATTACTGACTTTAACAAGTGATTGTGAATTTGGGTGAGGAATATCTCCCTAGTAAGTTCTTTTCCTAGCTCAGACTGGTGAGGATTTCACAATTTTTCACAGTAAAGATCCAGAATGGATATTGAATGAAATCAAACTATTTTAAGCAGAACTGCCTATTACACAACTTAAAAGAGAATTGCCACGTCCGAAAAGGACAACAGAACGTTGAGCTTCGATTTCTGCTTCGGTAGCTGCCTTTGAGTTAGGCTAGATTGAACATGTCTATAATGGATTCGAACGTCAGCACCTTCAACTGATAGGTTTTAGCTGGAAATCAATATCAGTGTTTGATATTGGCAGAGCTTTAATCTGTTTAAGCCATGGAAAGGCTTGTTGGATGGGCATAATTGAGGCCTCTTCATTCTAGAGGGGGCTGGAAGTGGCTGGATTGATGACTGCTGGACTGGAGTTGCACTTTAGTACCTATTCTGCTTGATCAGGCATCTCTATAAATTTGTTGAGGTTTTCATATTGTGAAGAACCCGGATCCTGCTTGATTTGGTCTATGCTAAACTAAATTTGTAACGAGTGAAGTCTCGTTTCCTTTGTGAATTGTTTCTTCGACTTGAAATGAGGTCAGAAACCTGAGTTCTGGCTGTTTTGCTTGAGGGTTGGTTGAATTTGAAACTGAATGGCTTGATTGCTTCAGAGTCTCAAGGCTCTTTGAGATTTGAATGACCTTATTCTTTTGAATTTTTTTTTTTTGTTTTTTTTGTTGTTGTTGCTGTTTTAACCATGTTCACCTCATCTTATATTTATAGAGAATCTGAATGAGGCTTTATTCTTTAATATCTAGGGACAGATCTTTTGAAAAGAATTTTCCTTTCTAATGCAAAGAAGGAGGGAGTTATTAATTTGGCAAAAAGAACCATCAACAGTCAGTTTCTGTGATGGTCCATTTGCTTTTTATGAAAACCAACTCTCTTGTTCTCTGTTTATTTCTTGCAAAACATAACCTGCCATGATGGTCCGTTTGCTTTTTCTGGTGAACAACTCTCCTAATCCCTGTTTATCTCTTGAAAATGTAACCTGCTATGATGGAGAGCCTTTCTACATATAGAAAAGGGGACCTGGTCTTCTTTTCTTGGCATTTTAAAATGGAGAGCGTTTTTTAGTTTAACGTGTTTTCATTAACTCCCCATCACTTCCTCTACCTTAATTGAAAACTTTGACTTTTTCAAAGTCAGAAAATCACGTGGGTTCTTTTTGAGAAAAGATCTTCCAAAAAATCTGCTGACTTGGATTGAGATCAACGGTGAGAGTTTTTTAGAAGTTGGGCCTAATTCTGAAATTAACTAGAAGCTTTGATTTGTTCAGATTAAGTCGCCATTTAATGGCAATTAATCTTTGATTTTAATCCTTTGCTAATCGTTTCACAAAGATCTGGGCCTCTAAAACCACTTGGGCTGATTTATGATTTCAAATAAAGCCCAAACTTCTGTTTTTTGATATGGACCAATGTCAATTGAACTGGCGTGTGAAATTTAGGCCCGAACAACATTAAAGAATATTGTCTTCTTAATGTCTATCGTTGTAGCATTAGGGCTGTACAAGTTGGATGTTCCTCGGTGAGCAATACGACGGATCTTATACCCGTCAATGTATTCAGTTACACTGGAAGCTTGATTTGTCACTGGAAGCTTGATTTGTCTAAAAAAATATGTTAATTTGATTGAAGCAGAGGCAGGCGAGAGGAATTTCTTAAATGTGGGAAAGATTCAGAGGTCAATGTTGGCCCCATATTCTTGTCAGTATCGTTTTCGCTGTATTTTTAAAAAAATAAAATTGTTTTGATGTGATGGGGTTATGGTTTTTCCACAAAGCTTGTTATTTGGATTAAGGACAGCCAATCAGTATATATGGTTTGAGTCTGAGCAAAGGTGTTTCTCTTCGCCATCTTTTTCTGCCATGTGCGATTGCTAAAGTGCATGACAGTGTTAGGGTCCTAAGACTCATAAATGTCCAAATTATGATGTCTCAATTACGCAATGTCAGTTGTTGGTTTCTTGGGGTTTATCCCCACTGCTTCATCAAAAAAAATTATGCAATGTCAAATTTCAAGGTCCGGTAATGACATTAGTAGAAAACATAACAAAAGACACGGTTTTTCGCCCCACTAACAAAAGGTCCGGCAATCATGATTGTGATAGTTGACATATTGGAAGAATGTGGGCTGCAACTGCAAATTGGCCTTTGTTTTGGTGATCAGTAACCACCGCACCCACATGCAACTATAACTACCACTTTTTAACTGTAATAAATAGAAATAAAAGTAGGGACTAGAAACACACAACAAATTCAGACGTCACTAGATAGCCAAACATCATCAAACTTAATCAAGGTGGAAGCGTCGGAGGCGATGAGTGAGGATCAGAAGTGGATAGGGTAGGGGAAGGTCTAGGAGGGTAAGGAGGGGAGGGCAGAGGAGGAGAAGAAGGATGGAGGCCACTGACCCCCAAGGAGGTCCGCAACTGAAACTTTTCTCGGGTTTTCTCTCTTGTTTACACCTTTCTTTCAATAATAAAAATTTATAATTCGTGAACATGTTTTCTTAAGTGAAACTTTTTTGTCTTATTTTGGTGTGTGTTAGCTCCGTAAAGTACATGTCACAATATTTGGATGGATGATAATAATTTAACTCATTCAACAGGGTCTAATCTAGTGAAAAAGGGTCTTCATTTTTTGACTAGTGGTTTCAAGTTCAAATCCCTATAGCACCTTGATAGTGTGTGTGAGAAACCCCTCCCTCCCCTTTACAGTTTAGAACAAAAAAAAAAAAAAAAAAATTTATTATCCCTTAAATTTTACCAACTAGACCTTGGTCTAATGGTATTTTTTTCCACTTGGTTGGAGGAGGTCTCATGGTCAACTCACATGGATGACGAGAACCATATATACATTTGCGATGAGTTCGATATTTTGTGGTGATGTAGCCTTGTTGTGGGTATAAGGGGCCCGGCCCGTACAAAAATATCTTGTAAATATTCTATCTTTCGTCAACAATATCCGTCAAAATTTTAGTTTTTTCATTTATATTTGCCCTTCTTAGTATTGGATGATTACTCTAGTATGGTGGCATGAACTAACGTGTTTTTATAAATAAATAAATAAAAGCTAAAATTTAACTCTCAAATTCATAAATATCAGTTAAAAAAAAAAATTCAAATATAGCCAAAAACTCACTTAAATTGACCCAAATACCCTCTAAAGAGTTGATGAGATGACCCACCAATTCAAGCCATAGCCACAGAGATGATTTGTATTGCCCAGATTTATGAAAACATTGACTTTTCCTTTTCTTCTTCTTTTTGGTAATTACATTGTCATTTTTACGATAAGATTCATAAGCATGATTGAGTTGACGAATTCAATTTTGTTTTTATGCTTTTAGGTTTTAGATGTAATTGAGTTATAATTTAGAGGGCATTTGGGTCAATTAAGTGAATTATTGGTTATATTTGAAAGATTTTAAAAAAATTGACATTTATTAATTTGGGAGTTAAAATTTTGGCTATTTTTGATAAAAACTCCAAACTGACTCTATCCATAGTTTCTTCATATATACCTTACAGACACAAATTGGGTGCTTAAGAACCAAAATTGGTAGTACTTTGTACGCAATTGTAACTAACTATAAAATCCCTTCACAAGTTTACGAATTTATTTTCCGTTCCCTTTTTCTTATGAGTTTAGAGTGGAAGGCCGTATTTTAGGACGGGATTGATGAAATCGTCTCAAGTAGGTAGTCTTTGTATTATCAACCCCCTCAGTCGCATATGTAATTTGTATATTATAAATTTGTATATTATATATACATGCATTTCAACCCACTCTGTCACATAGATTGTGAGAGTCTCCAACCTCCCTCTCTCTCTCTCTCTCTCTCTCTCTCTCTCTCTCTCTCTCATGGATATTGGCATTAGCACACTGTTATTGTACTCTCTCTTCTGCACCATGTACATGGAAATGTAACTTCCACTAAAGGATGTGATATTTTCCAAGGAAAGTGGGTTTATGATGCATCATATCCTCTCTATAATGCAGCAAAATGCTCCTTCATAGAGAAGGAATTCGATTGCCTAAAGAATGGTCGTCCAGACAAATACTATCTTAAATATCGATGGCAGCCCACTGGTTGCAGCTTAACAAGGTAAATACACCCATGACTAGCCTTTGCTGCTTTAATCTCTACTTCTCTTTCAAATGGTTCGTTTTCTTTTATGAAGCAAATGGTTCTGTATATGGTTTTTCTGTTGGCCGCTCTCCGATCCCATCTATGCTATGATGAATGCTACTACTCGCACATAGAGACAGGGTTGTCGATGGGTTGCTTTCATGCATTTTGTCCTCAAATTTAAGACTATTTTTCTTTGATATTATTCCAATTACAAAAAGCAGAAAAATATTGAAGGGGTTTTCCTCAATTGGAGCTTAGTATCACATCATATGATTGGATAAAACTTATCCATGTAGGTTCAACGGTCAAGATTTCTTGCAAAGATTTAGAGGAAAGAGCATCATGTTTGTTGGGGACTCACTGAGCTTGAATCAATGGCAGTCACTCACTTGTATGCTTCATACAGCCAACCCACAAACCCCATATAAACTGTTCAGGATAGGAGGGCTATCCACATTCATATTCCCTGTAAGACTAATTATACCTCTCAATTTTACCTTCTTTTTAGTTTTTGTTCATGCGTTTATAATTAGTTCTCCATACGATACGAGTGCACTGCATTTGACACTAATACATAGATTTATTAGTATTTTTTAAGTCTCGCAAACAATAGAGATGATTATCTTGAACTCGACCAACATTATTTTTCAAGTCTCATATAATTAATTTTCTCAACAAGGACTCTGCATCTAACATTGTTTTTTTGGAGTCTTTAAGTTAATAATGCGAATGATGACAATTATGCTTTTATAATGCATATCTCTACCAGCTGTTTTGGTAGGTAAAGCTTAATACATGAACTGAAAGAGCAACCAATCAAACCAACGTTGGTTTGCATATACAAAATATGCCTTAGTTTTATTATATATCTTCCTAAACCATAGCCTGTCAACATCAACACTCACCAACAAGAAGGTATATGATAAAGCCTTAGACAAACCGTTCATATATATGAATCAAATTGGTGAGCATATGGTGGGAATAAAACTAATGTGGATCCACCCACCTATTAGAGCGGGTCCATTCTCTCCACGAGTCGAAAACAATAATGTTAAGCTCACCAAATTTATGCACTTCTATATGAACAATATTTTGTCACATAAGATGCTAACGAGAATATGATGAATAAGATTATTAAATATCCTAGAGTAACTTCAATATTTGCAGGCATACAATGTGAAGGTCATGTTCTCTAGGAATGCCTTTCTGGTTGATATTATAGCAACAAAAGCTGGGCGAGTTCTTAAACTTGACTCTATTGAAAGTGGGGAAAATATGGAAGGGAATTGACTTCTTGATCTTCAACACATGGCATTGGTGGCTTCATATTGGAAGGAAGCAACCGTAAGATCAAAATTAATTCAAATACCCAAAAGCTAGAGATAGCATTGTTTTCCTATTTCCGGTCAACTACAGTATGTCATGCGTGACTTTTTCACGTGAGAATTTGTGATTGGCTAAGAATAGCAAAACAGTGGTATCCTCATTTCGCACAAATTTTCCTTCTAAAGATGGCCCAAACAAAAATTTCCAATTTATTTTGCCTTTGTCGTAAGCAATTAACTAAACATTGTTGTATTCAATGAATGTCATGTGTTGCAGTTGGGATCTAATTCAAGAAGGAAACCGCCTGTATAAAGACATGGATCGGTTGGTTGCGTATAAGAAGGGGCTCAACACTTGGGCTAGATGGATTGACACCAATTTGGACCCCAAAAAAACAAGAGTCTTCTTCCAGGGTGTTTCCCCAGATCATAATAAGTAAGACTTCCCTGGCCTTGTCTATATACACATTGATTGAGACATATATTCACAACATAAAACTATGTTATCTTATGTTTTAAGACTATGAATCTGAACCGCTCATGAGACGAATTCTTATTTAATGGTTCTGCACCCTTGCATCTATCACATTGCTAGTTATAGCTTAACATCATAAAATTTGACTTTTTTTTTCATAGTAGAGACTAAATGTCAGTAACTCAAATCATCATCAGATATCATTTATTTTTATGATTTAAATGTCCTTTATCGATTAATTATTGTTACTTTGTTACTGATCTGACCAACTGTTTTAACCCACATTTACATCTTATCACATTTTTGATATGACAATTACCGCACCTTATTTACTTTTTCTTATAATTACATGCTCACCTGTTTTATAACATTTTTCTGCAACATTTTATTCCCCAATTAACCTTGTATTAATGTTTGGTTAATTAGTGGAGGTGATTTTGGGGAGCCAACTGCAAAACATTGCGAGGGACAAATGCGACCAGCGGTTGGGCATCAGTATCCAGCAGGTTCACATCCAGCAGAGCTTGTAGTAGAAAGAGTGCTGCATTCTATGTCAAAGCCAGCTTATTTGCTCAACGTCACAACCCTTTCACAACTAAGAAAGGATGGCCATCCGTCTGTGTATGGTCACGGCGGTCACAGGGACATGGACTGCAGCCACTGGTGTCTGGCCGGTGTTCCTGATACTTGGAATCAACTTCTATATGCAGCTCTCATACAAAGAAAAACCAACTAATTTTTTGTCGCTGCATCCAACATGTCATCGCTATAGCTTGGTCTAATTTGGAAACGAAATTTAGGTCACATTTTGCAAGAATTTAATATTTTCCTAGCTGAAAGGCTGCTTCTACTAGAAAATATAATTCCTCGCTGGAAAAATCGTTACTAAAGCAACGTTTTGTTGTAGTGTGAGTATGTAATTGCAGTTCATAATCTCTACATAATTTGTATTTCTATCCATCCACTTCCAAATAAATATATATATATTAATTATTCAACCACTTTGCCTACAAAGTGAAGAAAATTGAAGTTTCACACTAAAACGAAATGAATTTTCTGCCTGAAAATAACTATCTCACATGCATGTGTAAGATTTCTTGAGGAAGGGTTTCTCAAAAGTAATGCTTGAGACAGATTCAACTATTTTAAAGCAGAGTGTCGAAGGAATGACTAACAATGGTGCTTGGTCCATCCTTCCCACAATTCTGGAAATTAGAAGGCTTGCCAACAGTTTCCAGAGAGTTGAATGGAGTTGGATTCCTCGAAGTATCAACAAAGCGGCTCACGCAGCGGCTAGTATTGGCATCAGAGCCGTGGCTTAAATTTGCTGGGCTGAAAGGCCACCACCGTCTCTTCAGGGAGTGTTGGAAGCGGATGGTCTTCCAGGACCACCAAACCAATGTTCTTATCTATATTTTGTACTAAGTTAGCCGCTCCACTAGCTTGCTTTGACTGATCAGTGTGTGCTGGCTTAGGTTGTTTGTTTCTATTCGTGGCTTTTGCCTCTTAATGAAATTCATTTTCGTCCAAAAAAAATAAAATTGAAGTGGACACAAATTGTGCTCTGCATGTGCTCAATCACATTGGTTAATAACCTCCAAGAGTGAACATATTTATGTGGTCCATGACCATAGGTTTTGAAATCTATCATATGTTAACATTTTCTTTGTAATCGTCATATTTACCAAATTTCGAAGGGATTAAAAAACTTTACATTCAAAAAAGCTACTGTAATTTTTTTTAAAGATATATAAAAAGGTTATAAATAATTTAAAACAGAAACAAGTCACAGAGCTTGTTAATTAATTATATAATTTTGGAATGTACAGTTGTCTTCGAAATCGTGTTAATAAAAAATCAACGGGCATTTCCAGATATATTACTACTCTGCTACTGGCAAATGGGTTTGTTTCTGGGCTTGGATTGAATGAGCAAAGAAAGGCCCAAGTGATGAGGGACGGGAGTTTGTCTTTGACTTGGGCCAGCCAGACTATTAAAGTAGGAGGGAATCTTGACTTGATTAAGAACTAGGAAACATGAATCCCATATCGGAATACCGTTCTATGAATGAAACCTTTCTATAGAGCTTTTCAATACTAAAGCTCGTCCCTTCGGGGACATACGATAAAATTGCAACAATCCAAACAAGAAGTTCCTTTATACGCCTAAACCAATCAGGACACAGCCACTGTCTTTGCCACTTGCAAAGGCCAATATCTCATCATCAATTAGGCTTTGTCTTGAATTAAGGGGAAAAAAAGAAATATAAAGGGTAAATCTTCTCGTGTCAGATATCTAACATGTTATGTTGTTAAATGATTAATCGAATCCCATATTTTAAGACAAGAAAAGCAATCTTCGCCTAAATGAAGCCCTTAATAAGAATATTTTAATCTAATGTGTTTCAGAAAGGTTAAGTTTATAATTCAAGCCCTTAATGACTAAATCAATCAATTAAAAACAGAAATTAGACTTATAAGAAGCACAGTCTGCACTATTTAAACTCACCCAAGTAATAAAATTTTTGGCTACCACCTTCTTCTGAGTTCTGACACATGGCTGTTTCTTCTATATTTTCTGTAGCATTAATATTATTTTCTCTGTTGTACCAGATAGGGGGTGTGGTGAGTCAATATTGGGTGAGGGAACAAGTAAACAATGCTGGGTCTGGGTGTGACCTTTTCCATGGAGAATGGGTGTACGATAGGTCCTACCCTCTCTACATTTCAACAGACTGTCCCTTCATTTTGAAGGAGTTTGATTGCCAAAAGAATGGTAGACCAGATAATGAGTATCTCAAGTACAGATGGCAGCCCACTTCATGCGATTTACCAAGGTACTTGAGTCTTCTTGCCATTGTTCTTTTCTCTCTCTATTTTATTTTATTTTTATATAATTTTTGGGGGACAATGTATATATGTAGGTTCGATGGAAGAAGCTTTTTGGGAAGATTTAGAGGGAAGCGCATCCTATTTGTAGGGGACTCATTGAGCATGAACCAATGGCAGTCTCTCACATGTTTGCTTCATACATCAGTGCCAGAAGCCAGCTACACCTTGTCCAAGGTTGGAGGTGTCTCCACATTCAAGTTTCCAGTAAGGCTACCTACCTTAATTTCCTTCTAAACCATGCATTTAATACCTAATTAATTATGATCTCCAATGGTACATGAAATTGGGAACGACAACATGCTCATGCTCAACTTGCATTAATTTGTAGGCATACGACGTTTCGATCGTTCTGTCCCGCAATGCCTTTCTGGTAGATGTTGTGAATGATAGCAATGGGCGTGTTCTAATGCTTGACTCAATTCAAAATGGAAGTTATTGGAGAACCTTTGATGTCTTGGTCTTCAATACATGGCATTGGTGGCTTCATACTGGAAGAAAACAACCGTATGTGTTACAATTTTTTTCTGTTTCTTTATTTTTATTTTTGGAATTAATAAAGTAATGCAGGTGGGCACAAGTTCGATATGGTGTGAATAATGCACACAAGGACATTGATCGCATGAAGGCCTATGAGAAAGCTTTGACGACATGGGCTAGATGGGTGGAATCTAGTGTGGATCCTAGTAAAACGAAGGTCTTCTTCCAAGGTGTTTCTCCGGATCATATGAGGTAAACAATGGGGCTGCCTAGATAAGGACTTTTTTCAAAACGAATTCGTTTACGGATCCCGAATTTTTGTATTTAGCATCGATGTATTTACATACATTTAAACATATGTTAACTATTAAATTAATCTAATGCATTTTAATCAGTCCACATCAGCATCTCTTTACACCTTATATGTGTATAATAACTTTTTTTAAAAATACCTTTGAAAGAGGGTCCTCAGGTTTACCTCAGTGGTTGAGGTGCTCCCCGCTCCCCCCCATGACCCACCTTCGAATCCCACAGATAGTGTGCCCCCTACCCCGTATGATGTATCACAAAAAAAAAAAAAAAAAAAAAAAAAAAAAAAAAAATTTGAAAAAAGAAATAAAATATTAAAAAATATTATAACAACAAAAAAAATATGTCAGCAAGCATCAACTCTTCAACCCAGCCTCCTATCCCCCCTGTGGCAGCTCCCCAGCCATCCATGGCTGCCACACTTAACCCCATCTCCCACTTCTCTCTCTCTCTCTCTCTCTCTCTCTCCCTCTCCTAACAAATCTGCAAATAAATGAAAAATAATTCGCACAATTACTACAATTAAACCAAGTCGACCTATGTGCGTGTGTGAGAGGAAAAGAGAGTAAGGGTCAGCAATTGGTTGGCAGTGTGGGGGCTGGGGTTGAGGAGAGAGGTGGTTGCTGCTTGATTTGATTTTTTATTTTTTATTTCAATGTTATCAAATACATATAGTAAGGTGCGGCAGTTGTGAGGTTTAGTATAATACAATTATTCTGACCTGGACTCATTAAAATTCATTAGATTAATCTAATGGTTAATATTTTATTAAATGTGTGTAAATGCATTGATGCTAAATGCAGAGGCTTAGAATCCTCGTGTACCTAAAAAAACTAACCAAATGTCAAGTGGTTACAAGCACTTATCCATGAATCCGAGATTCTATATTCGATGAAGAGAGAAAAAAATTGAAAAGTAAAACTTCATATGCCGTTGTTCTAACTTTGACAAATAGTTAACCCACTGGCATATATGAGAACGCACACGACCATTTATAAGAAATGTTTTTTTAACATAAATGTTATGATCTTTTTATTTGTGCTAATCAATAGGTCAAGAGAATGGGGTGATAATGCAAAATCGGAGACCTGTTTTGGACAAACAGCACCAGTGTTAGGAACACAATATCCAGGAGGCTCACATCCAGCACAAGTTATTTAGAAAGAGTGTTGCGCACAATGTCCAAGCCAGTTCACTTGCTCAACATAACAACACTGTCACAACTCAGGAAAGATGGTCACCCTTCTTTCTATGGTTTTGGCGGCCGCCGTAGCATAGATTGCACCCATTGGTGTCTTCCCGGCATTCCGGATAGTTGGAATCAAATTCTTTTTGCTGCACTCTTCCAAAGATGAACAGATGCTAGTCATTTTCTCCTTTTTTTTCTTTGTTTTAGTTGAATAAATTATCAACATTTTTTAGTCTAATAATAATGTTTTCCATTTGTAATTGTAAGTTGAATGTCTACATTCACTCTTGCGAACTAGCTAGGAACAAGGGTGTGTTGCACAACCTATGGTTGAATAAATATTTAGGCCCTGTTTGGTGGGTCGGGTTGGACAAGACTGGATTGGACTTGGAGTGTTGAACTGGGCTAGCTAGGACTATACCAGACTTTGAGTCTGTTGTTTGGTGCTTTACTTAACTTTGCACTGGACTGGACACAAATAAAAAAAAAAAAAAAAAAAAAACAATTATTCAATTATTTCATATAAAAAAAATTAATTGATTAAAGGGTATAATGGTGATTTGTCCTTTGAACTTGTACCTTAGTTTCAATTGACCCCCTATCTTTTTTTTTAGAAAATTAAGTACCCGTCTATTTTTTCGGCCAATGTGCCCCCCGACGTCAAAATCTGGCATTTTCCATCCATTATACCATCAAGATGGAGGTTAATTTTGTCATTTCGCGTGTCCACGCAATTCAACCCAATGTAAGTAGAAAAGTCGAAGGAGGCTAGGTTAGTTTCAACCCAAAAAAAAGGGAAGGAAAAAAAGGAAGCAAGGTTAGAGCTGTAACTATAGGATTCGAAAATTTGGGGGGAATTGGGGATTTCACGAAATCGAGCTGCATATTGGCTGATGTTGAAAAATTGGCGAGGTTGTCATAGGAATCTCGAATCAACACACCTGTATTGACCAAGAAAGATGCGTGTCGAAGTCCAGAGCAGTAGGCAAGCTCCCAAGTATAGTAAGTCTTCAACTTTCCCTTTCTTTTCATTGTTTAAGTGGTTGTGGTCCATAGGTTGTCGGTAGAATTGGATTCTTCTATCTTCTTGCTTTTCTGTAAGATTCCTTTTCGAATAGAAAAGTGTGGTCCTAAAGTAAAGTATGTGTGTTTCTTTGTCTCTGTGTGGCTGATGTTAGTAAAGGCTGGATTCAATTGGTAGGTTTGTTGTAGTAAATTGAAGTTGTTAAGTTAATTAAATTAAATTTTGTTGTTTGTAGGTGATCCAGAGTTATTTACGATTGAAATTCACCATGAGGGTATTTTAAAAAGGGGAAGTATGTGGGAGGCACTGTCCAATGTGCAAACAACTGTAATATAGATCAGTTGTCTAAGCTAGACTTATATGATGTTGCTGAATCACTAGGATACAACCACATAAAAGTCGATTATCTCTATAGGTCCACAACATTGGGTTATGTGGCAATTCGAGGAGACTAGGATATGCTTGAGTTTGTGCATGAGATATCTGCATCAAGGGTTCACGGTTTGTACATCACAAAAAAGCTAGAACCCACCTTGTTAGAGATTGAAGCCTCTACAACTGTATTTAACTTTCAGAATTTGCTTCAACCACAACTGATACATATAGATGTACAAGATCATGCGAACATTGCTGATCATGCCGATGATGAAGCTAAAGAGGAAGATGAAAAGCAGCAAGAAGATGAGGAGCTACAGGTAGATGAGGAAGAAGATGTAAATGTTGATGGAGAGGATGATAACGAAGAGCGCCTGCAGTTCATAGATAGTGACGACAAGCAAACAGATGAAGAACAAGACAAACAAAAGAGAGCAGAAGATGACAAGTGGTTTGATAGGCATCTAGTGAATGAAGCTGTTTAAGAACCACAGAGAGAACCTGGTGATGTTCCAAGTGATGACTACAATTCAGAGGACCTTCTAAGTATTTCAGAAAAGGAAAATGAAGTTGATGAAAATACAGGTGTGAAAAAGGTTAGTCACAGAAGATAAATTTCTAGGTTCAAGCAATTCAAAAGGGAGACTGATTTATTTAATCTAGTATTTCATATTGGAATGGAGTTTGCTAACATGGAACAATGTAGGAAGGCCATAAGATTCTATGCAGTTTCAAGTGCTAGGCCACTGAGATGGGTTAAGAATGACCCTCACAGGGTTAGGGTGGTGTGTGGAAGTGGAGGAAAGGCTGGAAAAAAAAAAGGTTTTGGAAAAAGAAATGGAGAAAAAAAAATAGAGAAAAACGTGTACAAAATGCTGGAGAGGATGGTAGAGAAGAAAATGGAGAAAATGGTGGAGAAAAGGAAAGAAAAAGGTAAAGAAAATAGGAATGTCAAGTGTGATTGGTTGCTATATGCATCTTATGTGGGCAAAGGGCCTACTACTAGGATCATGACATATCAACCTAAGCATGTATGTGGAAGAATGCAAAAGACCAAGTTTGCCACTTCTTCATGGCTTGGTCAAAGGTTTGTTAAAATTCACAGTTTCAGTAATTGGTTTCTAGTATTTTGGATGTTTGGGAGGAAGGAAGAGATCACAGAGAGAGTATGAGAAAGAGAACGTTGCTCTGAAAATAGAAAACTGGAGGTTACTATTCATTCCATTCCACTATTCATCTATATTTGTATGAGAAGAAAGAAGTATTATAAAATAAAATTCAAAACTTTGACTTTTAGCTCCAAGGATTTCAGCTGAAGGGTTACACATCAACACTCCCTTCTAACCCTTTGGTTGATTTCACACCAAGTAGATCTCTTAGATACACAAAACAATCCTTGGACAAAGCCTTGGTTAGAATGTTTGCGATATGATCTTCTGTTGTGCAGTAGATTAGTTCAATCTCCTTTGCTTGAATAGATTCTCTAATGAAGTGAAACTTTCGACTAATGTGTCTGGTTTTCTGATGGAAAACTGGATTCTTTGCCATTGCTATGGCAGAGGTGTTATCACACAGAATTGGTGTGCCTTCCACTTGTTCCTCTCCAAAATCTTCAAGTACAAACCTTAGCCATTTAGCTTGTGATGTTGCTTCAGCAGCACTAACATATTCTGCCTATGCAGTGGACAAGGCCACTGTGTTCTGTTTAATTGATGCCCATGAGAACATACCAAATCCTAGTGTGAATGTAGGGGTGGTTGCGGTTCGGTAACGGAGAATTTTTGCCCAAACCGTAAACCGACCGACTATTTGCGGTATGGTGATTTTTGAAACCGCAAAAAGCGGTCGGTTACCGCGAATTAGCGGTTTAAAACCGCAAGTTCTCAAGCATTCACAAAAATATAAATTCACAACCTAAATAAATAAATACACAACCTCAACTTCTCAAGCATATAGAAATTCACAATCTCCTCAACTTCTCAAGCATTCACAACCTAAAGAAAATTAAAGTTACAATTCCAAGCATTCCAATTAAAGTTAAACTTCTCAAGCATTCCAATTCCAAATCCTTTAAAGTTACAAACCAAAGGAAAATACAAAGCAAAATGAATTAAAGTTACAACTAAAAGGAAAAATCTAATTCAAAGTTAATTAAATTACAAACTAAAAGGAAAATGCAATGCACCAATGTTACAAACTCAAGTGTTAGTGGTGAGTGGATTTGAAGAACCCCGTAAGTTTTGAAAATCAAATACCGCAACCGCAACCGCAAATGCGGTTCGGTTTACCGAGATCGCGGTTTCATTGTGGTAAATAGTCGGTTGGTTTTTGCGATTTTTTGGTTTTTTCGGTCTAAAATGCCACCCTTATGTGAATGCATATCCTGAAGTACTTCTTCTGTCATCTTCACTTCCTGCCCAGTCACTGTAACAATACCCTATTAAGGTAGCTGTCTTCCCTTTTATAAATTCAATTCCAAAGTCAAGTGTGCCCTGAATGTATCTTAATACCCTCTTGGCTGTTCCCATGTGTTTTCTAGTAGGATTATGCATGAATCTAGCAAGCAAGCTAGAGGCAAACATTATGTCTAGTCTTGTAGCTGTCAGATATAGAAGGCTACCTACAATCTGTCTGTATTCACTCTCATTTGTTGCCTCACTGCCATCTTTCTTGCACAACCTCTCATTTGCAACTAGTGGAGTTACCACAGACTTGCAATCCTTCAATCCAAACTTTTCAATAACCTTCAAGGCATATTTCTTATGATGAAGAAAGATGTGTTTATCTGTTTGTACTACTCCAATGCCAAGAAAATGGTAGAGTAATCCCAGATTAGTCATTTCACAATGTTGCATCATATCATTTTTGAACTCTTCAAGTAACTTTGGGCAGCTTTCAGTATAGACAATATCATCCACATAGAGTGAAACGATAAGAATACCTGAAGCTTCACTAGTTTTGACATAGAGTGTAGCTTCACTAGGACTTTTCTTGAATCCTGCCTTGTTGAAGTAAGAGTCTATCTCATCATACCAAGCTCTTGGGGCTTGCTTTAGTCCATACAAAGCCTTGTTCAACTTATACACTCTGATTTCTTGATTTTCCTTCACAAAACCATGTGGCTGCTCAACATAAACTTCTTCCTTTAAAACTCCATTCAGAAAAGCAGATTTTACATTCAGTTGGTATAGATTCCATTCCTTCTATGCAACAAGTGCTATCAAGGTTCTAATAGTATCCAATCTTGCTATTGGGGCAAACGTCTCATTATAGTCTATTCTAGGCTTCTGAGAGTAGCCTTTTGCCACAAGTCTGGCCTTGTTTTTCTGCACAGATCCATCAAGATTTAGCTTCGTTTTATAGACCCACTTGACACCAATGATTGGCTTGCCAAATGGTTTGTCCACTAGTTTCCATGTATTATTTTTCTCAATCATTTCCAACTCAGCTTTCATTGCATTTCTCCATGACTCATCAAGATCAGCTTCTTCAAAACTTTCAGGTTCCACAATGCACATATTGCACTGAGCCATGATTTCGTTAACACTTCTCCATTTCTTTGGTGTGTGAGCAATAGCTTGAGGGTTTTCACTTATTCCTTCATCTTGCAGTGTACTACCTTCATCCATTTGAGTTGGTGTATCCAAGTTTTGACTTGGTTCATCTTATAGTGTGATTCCTTCATCCAGTTGCGTTGGTGTATGAAAGCTTTGACTTGGATCACAGTTTTGATTCTCAGTAGGCACAGGGGCTGTCATTTCCCCTGCACTTGCATTCTCCCACTTCCATGAGCCATTCTCATCAAACTACACATCTCTAGACAGAATAACCTTTCTAGTTCTTAGATCAAATAGCATGTACCCTTTTTCACAGAGTCCATAACCCACAAAGATACACTTGTGGCTATTTTCTTCAAGTTTATGCCTTAATGCTGAAGGGGTGTGCACATGGCAGGGAGATCCAAAAATCTTCAAGTGTGCAATACCTGGTTTTCTACCAGTATAACCTTCAAATGGTGTTACCTTCTTGAGAGATTTGGTGGGACATCTATTTAGTAAATAGACTACAGTATTTACAGCTTCTGCCCAAAATTCATAAGGAATACCCTTCTCATGCAGCATGGATTTTGCCATTTCCACCACTGTTTTGTTCTTTCTCTCGACTACTCTGTTTTGCCGAGGAGAGTATGCCATAGTTAGCTGCCTTTGAATTCCAAATTCTTCAGAATACTTGTTAAATTCGCTTGATAAAAACTCTCCACCCCTATCACTCATCAAGCCTTTTATCTTATATCCACTTTGCAGCTCAATTATAGCCTTGAACTTTCTAAAACATTCAAATGCGTTTGACTTGTTTCTGATGAAATACACCTATGACATTCTAGTGCAATCATCTGTAAATAGCAGAAAATACTTGTTTCCCGAGATAGATTCAGTCTGCATTGGTCCACAGATGTCTGTGTGAACCAATTCTAGTGGACACTTAGCTCTCCAAGTGGATTCTGAGGGAAAAGAATCTCTGTGTTGTTTTCCTAGCATACAGCCTTCACACAAGACTGAAATTTGCTCCAAGTGTGGCAAGCCATGAACCATTCCTTGATCCTCAAGCATTTTGATGCTTCTTTCATTTAAGTGCCCCAATCTCTTATGCCATATCTGCAAGCTATGTGTAACACTTGCTTTTAAAGTCAAATCACTTGCAGGCATCATTGTAAGAGGAAAGCATCTGTTAGTTGTCATTTGAACTCTAACAATGAGGTTGTCTAGTGACCAATTATCATAGATATTCACCACATTCCCTCCAAACATAAGATAGTACCCATGCTCCATCATTTGTCCAACACTAAATAGATTTTCTTCAAGACCAGGTACAAGCATTACTTCTTGAATGTGCTTCCTAACCAACTTGGTTTCTATCACAAAAGTCCCTTTTCCTACAACTGGAACTATTTCTCTAGTTTCCATCTTTACTTTAGAGGTTAAGTTCCTTTGAATATTGACTAAGAGTCTCTCATCTCCTGTCATGTGATTACCACAACCACTGTCAATGTACCATGAGTGATTCACCTTCACGTCTGTTGCAGCATTGCAAGCATAGAACAAAGTACCAGTTTCTTCAACCTGATGTGCATAGTTCACATTCTGTACATTTTTATTTCCATTGCAATCTCTGAGCATATGTCCAAATTTCCCACACCCATTGCATTTAGGCTTCCCTTCAAACCAACACTTGCCATAATGCAGCTTATCACAGTGTTTACAAGCTGTTTTGTTTCCATCATTAGACTTCCAATTTTTCTGAGATTTTTTATCTCTAGAAAACCTTCCACTCTTAGGATTTTTTTCCCTCAATATTCAGACTAGTAAAGGCTCTTTTTGTAGAATTCTCAATATGTCGATCCAATCTGAGCTTAAAGCTCTTCAAAGATGCACCCTTTGAGGTCTCCCCGTTCACAATTCTGGGGAAGAGCTGATCTGAGACAGTACTTTGAATCAATCCAAGTGCGCGAGCATCCTTCATCAGAATCTGAGCCGTCGTAGACTTCTCAGTATCCTTAGCCTCCTCTTTCTCCTTCTTCGAATCTGAAGCATTGAACCCATTCTCGATTAGATCCCACAATCCATGAGATTTCAGAATGTTTTTCATCCTAATGCTCCAGAACTCATAGTTTTCTCCATTGAAAACTAGTGTGCGAAGCTTAGTTGTTCCCGATCCTGCCATGTTAGACATTGGATTCAAGAAATCGCAGCTTCAATCATCGAATTTTAGCTCAACACAGCTCGAATCGAGTCCGATTCCTTATTCACAGATTCACGCCCAGTTTAAGCAATCAAACCTGGCTCTGAGGCCATGTTAAAATTCATAGTTTCAGTAATTGGTTTCTAGTATTTTGGATGTTTTGGAGGAAGGAAGAGATCACAGAATGAGTATGAGAAAGAGAATGTTGCTCTAAAAATAGAAAACTGGAGGTTACTATTCATTTCATTCCACTATTCATCTATATTCATATGAGAAGAGAGAAGTAAGAAGCTTCTCTAACTGCTTTACAGGGATTAAATCCTAGCCTTTGATCCTATCACTCTATGAGATGATTACACTTGTCTTAATTTGACAATTATATCCTAGGCCACTTGGACTATGATGGCTCTCATTACAACCAGAAATTAAAACATATAAAATAAATTTAAAACTTTGACTTTTAGCTCCAAGGATTTTAGCTGAAGGGTTATACATCAACACATGTCTGTGTAGGATTTCATGAAGATTGTGAGGAAGTATTATGGCATAGAGCATAGCTAAATATAGAATACATGGAAAGCCAAGAGCATAGCAAAACAGAGAATACATGGAAATATTGAATAACAATATGTAAAATTGTAGGATTATTGTGAAGAGTTGAAGGCAAACAATCCAGGTAGCACTGTATTAATCAAGACTGATTTATGAGGGAACAACCCCAATATTTAAAAGAATAAATATATATATATATATGTTTTGGTGCATTGAATAAGGGCTTTATTGCAGGATGCAGGCCAATTGTGGGTTTCGATGGTTGTCATGTGAAGGGAACTCATCTAGGATAGATTTATCTGCAGTTGGTATTGATGCGAGTATGGGATGTACCCTGTCGCATTTGTTATGGTTGAAGTAGAAAATACTGAGACTTGGACATGGTTTATGGAGATTTTCTTTGCTGATGTTGGGTGTGAAAATGGTAATAGTTGGGTGTTCATGTCAGATAAGCAAAAGGGTTTGGGGCAAGCCATTAGGGATTTGATGCCTACTACTGAACAGAGGCATTTTGTTAGGCACCTCCACAATAATTTCAAGATTGTTGGTCACAATGGACTAGCATTGAAGCAAAAATTGTGGGTAGCAGCTAGATCAACTACAATACCCACATTTGAAGCTGAAATTGAGATTACAGATGGCTTCAAGAAAGGCCAGCAAATCATTGGAGTAGGTCATACTTCACAATTCATTCTAAGTGTGATATGCTTTTTAACAACTTGTGGGAGTCTTTTAACTCAGCTATTATTGAAGCAAAGGATAAGCCAATTATGACACTACTATAGAGAATTCGAAGTTATTTGATGCTAAGAATGGATAGACTTAGAGAAACTGTTTGGACACATGATGTTGGTCCTAGGATTTCTGGAATTGTTGAGAAGCTAACAACTGAGAGTGCTCAATGCATAGCATCATATGCTGAAGGAGGGAAATATCAAGTTAATAACATCCATGGTGGGATGTATGTAGTGGATTTGGAGAGGCACACGTGCACTTGCAGAAGTGGAACTTATGTGGAATCCCTTGTTCACATTCTATGGCTATAATTGCCAAAACAGAGAAGAGCCCTTAAGACTTTGCACATTCACTTTACAAAAGAGATGCACATGACAAGGCTTATGGGAGTTATATATCTCCATGCCTAGTTAAGAATACTGGAGAAAAACAGGGCATAGACCCATCTAGCCATCTCTTTACCACAAACAACCAGGAAAGCTTAGAACAAGTAGGCAAAAGGAACCTGATGAGATACCAAAAATGCAACAAAGTTGAGAGATATGGGATTGTCATTTATTGTAAACTTGTGGAGGTGAAGGTCAGAATTCTGCAAGTTGTGGCAACAATGGAGAAAGAGGCGGAAGACATGTGTGAACTTTGTGATTATTTTTGTTGATATGAACTTTGTTGAAGGTACAATTTTGGTCCTTTATTTGATGAACTTTTTTATTATTTTTTGTTCAAGGAACAAGTTAGAGGCAGGGAAAGGGCAATAAGGGTTCGAGGCAGGCGAAAGGGAACAAGCATGCCAAGTGTTCATGTCAAACAACCATACCAAGCTAAGACTTCAATCTAAGCTAGACCTTTTTGAAGAACAACGCTTGGGGTAATACCATATGTACTGATTTGCTTTCAATAATTAAATTAAGTGTTTAAACCAAATTTTGACTGATTTGCTGATTTTGGTCATTCAAATAGGTAAGAAGAGGGGGGGCAGGTGTCTGAACTAACAAGGCAGCTTGCTCAAACTGGTTTTACCTTACAAGGAAATCAAATTGGGCATGTTTCTCAACCAAACTCAAAAATATACCTTGACCAAAGAGATTAAGGCCATGGAGAGTGTAGTTGAGATTTGCTAATTTTGGTCATATGTGATCATCGGCTAATTTTGGTTTTTTGGAACCCCAAAACATTAGGACTGCTTATTTTGTATTGTAATGGATATGTTTTGGAACATTTGATTTTGATGAATTTGTAGCTAATATGGTCCTATGATTCTCAAATTGATTCAATGGATTAGTATTGGAACACAAATGTTTTGGATGGATTACTGTTAGAACTCATATGTTTTCCTTGAATTAGTGTTGGAACAGATGTTTTGTAATGGATATCTTTGCCTGGAATGGATATGTTTTGGTTGGATAGTGTTGCAACACATATGTTCGCTTGCTTGCTTATATGACCTTTTGGCCAATTGGAAATAAAATTGTCAAAACACAACTGATACATGTCATTACATTCAACAAAAAGACAAAAAGTCCATCTATTACACCTCTGCCACACAACTTATACACGACATTTTATTCATTGTCTTTGCCTTTCCCACTCCCCTTTATTTCTAATTCATATTACATAGGCAACTTCAAATATCCTTCATAATCTTTGCATTTCCTGTACATCAACCACAAAACTATCACAAACAATAAACAAGACACCCAAAACCAAGGTTTTTTTTATTTTTTATTTTTTATAATCAGTTTCTCTGGCCGAGACTGTTTTGCATCTTCCATCATGCTTATTTTATGTAGCAGCCTAGGTATAGTTTGCTTTTGACCTCTCACACATTTGTGGGTCACCCCATTCCTAAAATCTACATCTATTCTGCACATTTGTCATAACAATTGATACATAAAAAAACAAAAACAAAAAGATGTGCATCACTCCAAATTTCAAATCTGCAAACCAAATTTCAGTTACAAACTTACCCTCCCACCGATGTAGAACCTTATCCCTGGATGTGCAGCAGTCCAAGATGTTTGGATTTTCGTAGTTCTCCCCAGTAGCAGACAACTGAAGGCACCATCCATGAACTACCCTCTTCACCTTGTGAATTCCACCTCTATGACCCATGACCTCCATGAACTCTGCCAGGTAGGACCTCCTAATCTCGTAATATTGGGTTTTCTCCTAAACCCTAGATCCCGTTTTATTAGGGTACGGAAATGGAGGTTGGAAAAATGGAGGGAAATTCATTTGGGGAAAAAACAACCCAAAAAGAAGGAACTAATAGTTGAAGCATGGGTTCAGTTTAGTGCATATACAAAATGACAAAATTAACCTCCAACTTCACAGCAGAATGAATTGGAAGTGCCAGATTTTGACGTTGGGGGGCACATTGGCAAAAAAAAAAGTTCGGTTCCTTAATTTTCTATAATAATATTAAAAAAAAGATATGGGGTCAATTGAAAGTTATGTACAAGTTCAGGGGGCAATCACCAGTATACCCTTATTTAAAAAAAATTGCACAGAATTAAAATTGAGAAAGCCCCATCACATATTACTTCTAAAATAGCTCAAAACATATCCAAATTTAACAAAGCAATTAAAATACCTATTTTGCCCCATCAAAATACAACAAGTCCAAATATAACAAAGTAAAAACTCAAAACTACAATTCAACCACGAGATCTATGATCTCAAAGCAGTGTTGTCACATACTCGTACCTATCATCACCCTCATCTAACGTCTTGAACACGTGCAGTTTTGCCGAATGAGTAAATAAAGTAAGTAAGGAGATTCTATCTGAAATAGAAAATTCCATAAAAACTTTAAAGTAACAAATAAATTCAAACAAAGCATCAAATAGTCAAATTCAGTGTAAATCTGAGTATGATATTTATCTACAAAGCAAAGAGAGACATCTGATACTTGAGATCTAATTGAGAAAGCAACAATCTGTCCACAGAGAGAGAGAGAGAGAACATTTGGGAACCAGAAAGATTAATATGAGATTCTGTTCCTGCGGTGGTGTGTGAATGGGAATCAAAACGATTAATCTAAAAAGATGTTTCCAATTATTTCAGAGCATTTCACATAGATGCTTTCCAGCTTTTAAATTTCCTAACCAAATCAATGATCTTGACAAATTGAAAAAGGGAAAACACAAGAAATAATGGTAATTTAATAACAATAAGGTGTTATATCTCACATATTACAAGCTCAACTTATCATTAACATTCAAACGAAAAACCCATCTTCATAACAAGCATAGTTTTGAACAAACTGAATAGAAAAAGAATTTAAGAAGCTGTAAAAACCCAACTACTACATTCAATGACAAAGAAAGCAAAAAAGAAGTAACCCAATTTCACATATCCACAAACCGAGAAGAAAATTATAGGAGAAAGATGCGTATTGCTCACCAGTTTATGTTAACGAAGAAGAAGAAATGAGGAGAAGAGCCAAGGAGGAGGAAGAGGCGTAGACAATTGAAGGAGCGGAGGCGGAGACAGGGGCGTAGACATCGAAGGAAAGAGGAAGTGAAGGAGTAGACATCGAAGGAGAAAAGGAGGCAGAGGCGATGTCGCTCTAAACCCGTGGTTCCCCTTGGGTTTTCAATACTAGGGTTCACTGGACTATTATCCCATAGAAAATACGAGCTCGAACCAGTCCCGTTGTGCATTTAGGCTTACTGAACGTTTGATAGGATTGTAATCTATTTTAATTGAAAAAGTTGAATCCAGTCTAGCCCATCAAATAGGGCCATAGGGTTTTTTTTTTTTTTTTTTTTAAAGGAAGAAAAAAAAAGACTGCAAGATTAGAGTTACAAAAGAGGAGGATCCTCTTAGGATCCCTAATTTCCTACACTCATACAAAGAAACCAAGTACAAGTGAAACTTTTGTAATAACCAATTGAATTACATTCATCAGACACACCATATTCTCTTCTCGATAAATATAACATACTTGAGTAGCTTGCAACTAATTCATAAAATTTTGAATATCATGAATAAGTGATTGTAGTCGCCAATGAGGATGTTATGAATTCACAACAAACCAAGCTACTGCTTTGCAGAAGAATAGATTCAACCATCATAGTTTAACTTCCAAGGATTGATCAATCCATCAATAAAAGTTAGTCAAATCAAATTCACATGACACGAAAAATTTAGCCTAAAATAATTTTTGGCCAAGTATGATCTTCACATATGAAAAAATATATATATTTATAAATAAAAAAAATTAAAATGAAAGTGAGATTTGACCATAGTTACCAAAAAATGTTTGAGCTATAAGAAAATAGGGAAAATACTAATTAGATTAAGTGTTTGGTTTAGTTAGTGGTAGAGGGGGAGTAGGAATGAGATTTTTTTTTCTTTCTATTATTTAATGATGAAAATTTATAGAAACACCATTTAAATGTTTAGGTATGTGCATGATTACCACCTTAATTTTTTAATTTTTTTTTTCTATTAAGTACCCAGAGTTTGTAAAGTGTTGCAATTTACACCCTAGTCATCACGGACCACTCATGTGGAGGGATATTTTAGTGTATCGACATATTAGGGTTCGTTGATGACTACATATTATAGGATAATTTAAGGTTTAGTAATGAGGCAAATCAATTTGGGAAGGAATGGGGACATTGAAAGGCTCTAATATTTGTCTTAGAATGATAGAATAGGTTCGGGTATGGAGGAAAATTGATTTTAGTGTGCCCTAACATGTAGATGGATAAAGATATCCCTTCACATGACGGGTAGGTGATATGTATTAATGAAAAAGTCAATGTAACTTGACTTAGGTAGTTAATTGTACCACTTTATGGAGTCTAGGTGGTTAATAATAAAAAAAAAATAGAAATTCATGGTAGATTCTGACTATATTCTGGCCAAGCACGACGTCAGTGGCAGGTATTTCCTTCCCTCTTCATTCTCATTTCTCTGTTTTTCCTTTCTCACTTTCTTCTCAAACCCGGGGAATCTCTATTTGGTTTTTAACTAGTTTTTTTATCCACCATCCTCATATGTGGGAAGGTGGCTTGTCATTCGAAGAAGTAAAAGAGACATCATTTTAATGTCAGATTTAGAAGGTTTGAAATTAGAATCAAGCTATACAATTTTCTATATATTTTATCATTACTTTTATAGAGAGATATTTGAAAGTGCATTGGGAGGTGGAGATTTGTAAGTGGTATTTAAAACACAAATAAAGAGTCAAACTTTGGAGCTGACATGGCGGTTGAGAGAGCTTATGATTCCTACAACTTAAGTGCCAAAGTTTTAGGCATTTGGTTCTAGCTATTAAAAGTGGAGGTTTGAAACCTGAAATCTACCCATATATGGAAGATGTGTGTCGTAAGAGGAAAAAAATGAGACAATGTCGGGGCAAGAAAAAGTCAGCGAGTTTTGGTACCAAACCAACACCTGATGGGATTGGACATGTTACAACCCACTCGAGGGATCCGGCAATGAACTTATTTCAGAGGTGTGCGTAACTCGATGCAGTAGGGATGCGCAACCCAACAAGGTTCAGATGCGCACAACCCAACATGGGTTTCGAAGTGCACCACCCAACATTGGTTCGGATAAACATCCAACATGAGATCAAACTTGCTTAATACAACTCCACTACGGGGATCCCCGAACTTGAAAAATCCCCGACAGGTATGGGGAGGGGATAGTATTGGATTCCCCATCCCCGAACCCGACCCGAAAATATATATGTTTATATTTAAATAAATAAATATATAATTATAATATCTATGTTTTACCCCTCACCTCCAGCAACTGCATCCCCAACCCCACCCACCCTTACTGAAATGTCTCGCCGCACCCATCCACATCAAATCATCTCTGTCTCCGTTTGAAAATAACATAAACTTAGAAAAGCCCACCCACCTTTCACATGAAATCAACATTAGAAAATCACATCCCATTTTTGTTTTTGGTCAATAATGATGATTCATTGCAAGAATCCAAGCAAAAAAAAAAGGGGTTTGTTGAGGAGATGGTAGACCATCATGAGGTATAGGTTATTGAATTCTCGATATTTTGCTTGAATTTCTCTTTTGCATTCTCGAATTTTTGTTCTTTGCTCCCATTATCAACCCTCAAAGCTTCACCAACCTCACATAGGGTTCAAATTTTTGTTGTTATGTGGTTGATCTGTTGGACTTGGAAGAATGAAAGTAAGTCTGAGGGAGATAAAAGATTTGAAAGTCTGTGCCTATGTTCACTTTCACGAATCGCTCTTTTTTCTTGGTCTTGATTTTGCTGCTGCTTTGTGGATGTCAACCCATACACAAAATGTTTGAATGAGTGAAGTGGAGATAAAGAAGAAGCAGAAGTACATGATTGAAAGTGACAGCTTAGTGATTGCCATTGGAGAAGAGCTTGAGCTACACCAGACTCAATGCCCTTCACGGAATAAATTGTTCGTCTGGACTCGAGAGGATGGTTGTTTGGGTGGCTGGACTAATGGTTTAGGTGGTTGGGTTGAGAGGTTTGGGTACACAAATGTGTTATTAGCTGGGTAAAAGTCTTATTTACCCTTAAAAACATATCATGTGCATGGCATGTGACCAATTTTGACAGAAAAACTAACAGAAGGACGAATGGTGCAACACGATATCTAATTGGGGGACCTCCGCAACTATTTTTGAAGTTGAGGGACGAAAACGTAACTATGAATATAGTTCAGGAACCATTACTACAATTAAGCCTTTATCAATTAAAGAATATGATTGTTGAACTGTGGAGATATAGTCCTCACAAGAAAGGAGAGCTTGTTTCAAAAGAAATTGACACCAAAAAAAAAATTTAACTTGATGGTGCATTGAAGTGCATTTATATATACTTACATATCTTTGTATTTTTCTTTTTGTAGAAGAACATGGATAATGAGTGTGAAAAGGCTAAGCAACAAGTGGGAGAGAGTTCATGAACTCCACTAGATCAAGTCACACTCCTATCCTACAACAATGAGAGTTCATGACTACTAAACTTGGGGTTGCAAAGGGCAAGAGTATGTGAGGGTTGGGCTCTAGTCTCCAAGTGGAGAGTTCACATAGTGGTCGATCTACTCCTACATCCTATTTTACTATAGAGGAAAAGGTTGAGGAACTTCAAGGCAAAGT